GTGCGAGGGCCCGTTCATCGCTGCTTGCAGCTTTAATTTAATTTTTGCAATTTGGCAACCACACGCGTGCGCTCGGAGTTTAGCTATCTTTCATGCGAGATATTCTGCCTAAATGAAAGCGTTTTATAATATTTTTTGTTTGTCTTACCTGTATTCATAATGTAGACAGAGAAAGTGTATATCCAAGTCTTTGATATTAATTTATATAATAGATACCTGCGTATGAGTCGACATTCTATTGATTTGTGCTTATTGGTGAAAAGTGCAATACTTTTAACGAAATGTAAAAATGCATTTCTCAAATGAAAACAATCATTGTGATTATAATTGAGATTTTTTTTAATTTTTTTTATAATTTTAACCATTATACAGCATGATGAAAATGTGCTTTTAGTGTCATTGACTGAAACTAGACTAAACAAAAGCAAAGACAAGGTTGACTAAATATGACAATTAAAAAGTATATTTGACACAGGACTAAGACTAAATTAACACTACTTTGAAAAAAAAATATGCATCACAGTTTTGACTGTTTTCAACATTTAAAATAATAACTTTTTCTTAAGCACCAAATCAGCATATTACAAAGATTTCTGAAGGATGCGACACTGAAGACCGGAACCTTTATTTTTAAAAGTGTATGACCATTCACATAAGCTTCACCCAGTTGGTAGAAAACACAAAGCAGTGTACAGTTAACACAAGCTAATCAAACTCACCTGGTGTATCTGCCTTCACACAAGGATGTGACGATCAACTACTTGCCGTGGTGTTCGAAGGGAATGCTATTCTGGGGTGAAGAGAGAGAACATTACAGCCTTCCACCCCCACAACACACTACTCACACCAACCCATAAATCATACAGTGCCTACTGTCCATCATATTGAAAGAATATATGCTGCTGAAATATCTTTTCCCAGAAACACAAACGTTAGGCCAGCAGCTTCCTAGAAAAGGCTTTTCAACGACCTAATAAGCAGATTAAATTTTAAGCTCAAATGTCACCAGTCAGAAACTCTAACAGAGATCATGAGAATCAAAAGGTCAATTACTGCAAACAATAAAAGATGTACTAACATTTCATCAGGTATTTATTTTTGTGAACAATTTTTATGTGTAGAAATAAGAATTCCTAGTGTAACCATTCAAAGCCAGAGGCACTAAACTTTTTTCTGCCAGAGTAAAATCTCTTTTATCAGTAAGTAAGCATCAAAACAGATCATTCAGATACCGACTGGCTACTTTTGTAATAGGGTTTATTATTGCTCTGCTGAAGGCTTGGATGAGCAGGGTCTGCCTTATACCTGTGATGTGGACATGCGGGAAGTGTCTTGACGCCCCGTCAGGTCCGAGGACGACACGTTCACTGGGGCGCCACGATGAAGCCGCATGCTGACCTTACGTTCGCGCTCCATGCCAGTGACCGGTCTCGGTGAGGATGTGTTCGCTGTGAGATGAGATGACTCCTTACAGTGTTTCAAGTACTTGGGAAGTGGCAGAGGCAAGTGAAAGACTGTTTACCTGTGTGAGAGGTGGGTGTGAGGGGGGTGGAAGGAGCTCCGTCCTGTGTGGGGCGGGGTCTGCCTGAGGCTGCTGG